GTGTCTTCAGCAGACGGCTCTGTTTTACACTTACTGTGTTTGAGTACCTAGGTACCATGGTGATCAGTGCTATAGAAATAGAAAGAGCAGGGAGGCGGAACAGAGAAAGGGAGCACCCTGAACCCCAGGGGGCTGGAAGCAGTGTTTTGTGACACGGATGTTTATTTTGAGCTGGCAGCATTATTTATCGTGTCCTTCGTGCCCAGATCTCTCCCGTGGGCACGTGCGTGCTGTCTGCTTCCTGACGCACTTACATCCTCTGGGCCTTGAGAGGAGAGACGCTGCCTTCGGCAAAGAAAGATGCACATCGTTGTCACGACTTCTTACATTTGCCTGTCACTCGGCACTTGGCACATTCATGCACATTACTTCCCTCCTTTGATCCTCCGCCCGAGCAGATTGCATGAACCCTGTTCCCTGATGAATTTCACGTTCAGAGACTAACTTGTCCAAAGTCACATGGCAAGTGAGTGGTGGGAGCTAAAGTCCACCTGCTTCCTAGAGTCAGCCCCCTTCCGCTAAGGTCGGGCCGAGTGGCGGTGGGAACTCAGGGCTGGGTGGATGCAGTGCATTTTGGGCCGTGCCCTTCAGGGTAGAACGAGCTGCGTGGAGTGGTCCGAGTCACAGAGAAGCCCCTGGTGCCTCTGCACGGAGCCCACAAAAAAATGTGATTGGCTGCAGAAGTTTTGCTCATTTTATGTCCGGAGACAAAAGAAAGCACGGGCCGGGGTGCCTGGGTGGCTCAGTCCATTAAGTGACAGACTCTTGGGTTCAGCTCAGGCCGTGATGTCGGGGTTGTGAGATCCTCTCCCTCTGCTCCTCTCCTTCTACCCCTCCCCCATTTGTGTGTTTTCTCTCCCTCTCAAATAAATAAATAAATAAATAAAATCTTTAAAAAACAAAAACAAGAAAACCCTGGTTGATTCTAGATCGTGGGATTATGAATGTTCTCTATGTTCTATTTTCTTTCCCATATGAACAGATACGCCCTGTTCCATTCTCCTGTACTCAGCAAGACCTTTTCATGTTATAAGCTTCAGAAGACTGGAATGTGTATTCCTGAGAGGACACAATGCCAGTCCAATAAAAATATTTTTTTTGAAGAAGTTTGTCCATAATTCATGGGCAGTCAAACAATGAGGATTTGAGCACTTACCGTGCACACAAATACCAGGAAAAGCACAATCATTTGAGTAGACATGTCTAAACGTCAAGTCCACTAACCTGGAGGGGAGTAGGGGTCATTTAAAAGCCAAATGAATGGTGCAGACAGGCAAGATGAATAATTCACAGGAGGGGGAGATCTTCATGGGCGGAGGTGACCGGAGAGTCTTTGGGGAGGAAGAGTCTTCCAGTTAGTGCTTGAACAATGAGTAGGATTTAGAATGACAGGGAGAGAAGAGAGGCACATCCAGGCAAGCACAGTATGGTGAGCAGAGGTGAAGGAGAGGCCCGTAGGGTGTCCAGGGCGCCAGGTAGGCCAGGCTAATCAAAGAGGGTCTTCCTTAAGCATCTGACACAGTTCCCGGTGACTGGGGAGCAACGCTCTCTGCTCCTGAAATGGGCTGAGTCTGTCTGCAGTCACTAGGGACTGGGAGCCTCTCAGAGGATCTAGTTACACACAGAACTCCTCCCCACGGAGCTCATTTCTGACGGCAAACTGCTTGCAGATGCTGACAGAGAGACTGTCAAGGTTTGGATCTGATTTTGCTCTGAATCATCCGATTCTTGGCTGGAGCCCCTGGTGGGAGGCCCCTTGAGCCTGCACCCGGACCCAGCCAGCCCTCCGGGATGGGAAGGCGGCAGCTTCCTGGCAGGGCCCGTGGAGGACCAGCCCCCGGCCTCAGATGGCTTCTGCTTAGAAGGTCCCCGAGCACAAATCCCCCCCTCCTCCAAGCATCAGAATAAGCAGCGGGACTTATGTTGGGGGGATGAGGGGAAGGACAGGCAAGTGTAATGGCCGAAAACAGCCACCTCACTACCTGTCATACACTAGAGCCTCATTCCTTTGAGTGTTAAGGTTAAAAAAAAAAAGGGCCCCCCAATTTCCAGTTTGATTTTGTGCATGTGTGTGTGTTTGGCGGGGGTGGGAGGCTCTTCTGTGACTCTCTGGAAGTGACTTCTAGGCCCCATTGCCATGTGCTTTCCTCTGGGCTGCCCCTGGATGACCAAGGGACCCCTTGGCCATGTCCTCTCCCTCTTTCGGGGCAGGACAACATTGCCAAGTCATCTCGCTAAGAGATTTCTTTACCATCCTGAGAGAATCCGTTTTCATGTCAGGCGATTCCTATTTATGTCTAAACCTGAGGCTCTCATGTTGCAGAAATAGAAAATATCCAAGTACCACCTTCTTTCCCTTAAACCCAGACTCTCCTATTGTTCCGCCTGAAGGCCACATGGTGGGATGAGCCTCAAGTCAGATGAGCCGTGGTTCTGTCACTACCAGCTGGGGGACCTCAGGCAAGTGACTTAGCCCTGAGCCTGTCTGTACCTTGGCCGGGTGAGGACCAAGAGGACCATTGTGAGCAGAATGTGGCAAAATTAGTTTCTTCGATATATTCAAAAGCCTCTCTTGGGGTAGCCCTCAGCCTTCAGTGTGTTCAGCCCCTAAGCTTATCCATCCGTTTCCAACACTTTAATCCCCCTCTTTGAGTGTGTTGTTGTCCACAAGACACTGAGCTCGCCCAGAAGCCTCTTCTGAGCCTGCACAAAGGAAATAGTCCTTTCCAGGCAAGGTTTTTACACCAAAAACTGGCTTCTAGGCCCAAGGAGGCTGCCCCAGGGAGCGAGCATGCCCTGGACACTGCTTACAGAGGTGCCTGTGTTTGCCATCTTGTCCTCAGTCTTTGGATACCAGTGTCCGCAGGAATTCACAAAAGGTGTCTCCAATTTCAGGGTACATATTTCGATCTGAGGTTGAGCTATCTTCTCCCTCCATGGACTTGTACCACATCCTCCCGGAAATAAGTGACCCAGCCTCCTTGTGGAGTGACCTATCCAGAAAACCTGCCTTCCTGGGTACAGGACGAGAACTGGGACGATACACGAGGGAGAGACGAGGCTCTTGTGACTTAAACAGAGCTGGTCAGGAGCCAAGTCATTAATGTTCCTACTGACTTCCCTTTGGAGCAGTCAGGAGCTGTTTTTCTCTCATCTTCACTCTTCTCTTTTGTGTCTGGCAACCACTTTGATTATCAAGATGGCAGTACACAAAAGCAGGTCCCTCCACACCTCACCATAACTATTTCAGTGACTCTTTCCTCCTTTGTCCTGGGGCAGCCACCCTCACACCTGTCTTTGGGCCACCCTCTACCCCCACCTCATTTTCCTTGGAGCTGGTTTTAGCCATGGTTCTATCTACACAACTTTGCATCTCACTATCTCAGCACCAAAGTGCTAACAAACTAATTTAATGAATGTTTCCAAGCTCAGTGAGAGAAGACCAGAGGCATTCTCGATTCCCTGTTGAGTTCCTTATGTAGTTCCAGGCATCCCATCCCTGACTTGGTGATTCTGACGTTGGAAATTTCTCAGAAAGCAGGAGATGCTTTTGGGTCAATGGGTCATTCAAGTAACCCTCCTATTATACTGGATACTAAGTTCTCCATAAATTAAAGACAAAATTATGAGATGACCATCATGCTCATAAGCAAGAAACGGAATGCTGTGCACTGGTGATCGGGACCGTCAGGTGACATAATCAAAATGATCTAATGCCTATTTAGTGACATTATGTTATGCTTTCTTCCAGCCCTCATTACAACTCACATGGAGGAGAGTTATCTTTCAATGTGACTTTTCTACGATAATGGATAGCTTCTCATAAGTCATGGTTTCTGTCTCCAAACTGTAGAGTGGTGGTCTTCAAAGTATGATCTGGGAACCAGCAACATCAGCATCACGGGGCAGCTTGTTAGAAAGGCAAATGCTCAGGTCCCACTGCAGACTATGGAATTAGGAATTCTGAGGGGAGCCCAGCAGTGTGTTAGAACAAGCCCGCCAGGGAATCCTGATGCTCACTCAAGTCTGAGAACCACCGGTGGAGAGTCACCCATTAACCAATTCATAGTCTGTTACCTGCTCTAGCTCAGAGCGCTGGTCTGCCCCTCTCCAGGAGGCCTCCCAGAGAAAATAAAATTCTTGTCAACCTTGTCTCTTCCCTAATCAGCTTAACTTGTTTTGCCTGGAGTAGTGAGGTGAGACGGGGAAAAGGGAAACGGCCTTAGGAACAGCAGGAGATGCTGAGAGAACACTTGGAAGGAGCTTGCTCCATCCAGTTGAGGGCTGCAAGCAGAGTGAGCCTGGGATTAAGTCCTGCTGAGTTCAAACTGAACCAAAAGGGAGACATGAGCACCCATTGTGCTCAGGAGGGTTCCACCGTCCCCAGAGTGGGTTCCTTGCTGATCTGCCCCGTCTCCATTCATCAATGTGAATAAGAAGAGCTGTATAAATGTTACTTATTGGTGTGTGGTGTCTGGTTTAAAGTAAGTCATGAACAGGACTTGTAATCATAGGGATGGTCTACAAGCATACAGCCTGTCTCTTGAGTTAGAGGTGATAAATTAGATATTATATTGGAATTATTTCTGCCAAAAGGAGGTGTTTATTTTTTTATTTTTTAATTTTAATTTTTAATTTTATTATTTTTTTATTTATTTGAGAGAGAGAGCGCATGAGCAAGGAGAGAGGCAGGCAGAGGGAGAAGCAGGCTCCCCGATGAGCAAGGAGCCCGATGTGGGGCTCGATCCCAGGACCTTGGGATCATGACCCCAGCTGAAGGCAGACGCCCAACCGAGCCACCCAGGCACCCCATTTTTTAATTTTTAAAGATTTTATTTATTTATTTGAGAGAGAGAAAGAGTGTGTGTGTGTGGACGCGTCCATGCGCGCACAACCTGGGGGGAGGAGCAGAGGGAGAGGGAGAAGCAGGCTTCCCGTGGAGCAGGGAGCCCGACGCAGGGCTCGATCCCAGGACCCTGGGACCATGACCTGAGCCGAAGGCAGACACTTAAGCGACTGAAGCACCCAGGTCCTCCAAAAGGAGGTGTTTAGAATCATACAATAGTTCCCACCAACAGAGTGCTTCTTGTCAGCGTGACCACACCGGCTGATGAAGCCTGGGAAAACACCAACTACCTCATGCACCGGCTACTCATGACTCTTCAGGAGAGGTACAATTATCCTATTTACAGGTGGGGAAACTAAGGCTCAAAATGTTGAGTCAACTGCCTCTTAGAAAGGGACCGGTGCTTCAACTAAGCAGCGTCAAAAGCCTACAGGTTTAACCACCATGAGTCTAATGGGCCAGAATCTTCCTTCATTTGTTTTCCATGAAATCTCAGCTTCTCTGCTCAACTCCGTCTTCTTGTCCCTCTCTCCCACTTCATCTCCCTCTTCTTTCTGAGTTTGCCGACAGTCTTTTTTCCATCCTGATGGAATGCTTTGCTTTTGGGGGTCTCTATGGGCTGCTCTTTGTTTGATCCATCCATAATTAACCCTAAAAATGATCAGAGGCAGAAATTTGTATTTAAAAAAATTTTTTGGTACTCTCTTGGGCTTAAAAAAGACACAACAGGTTTTGAATAATACTTATTTGCTGAATGTCGGACCAGCCAGTGAGGCGAATGGTGTTGGGCTGAGGTGCAAGTTAAAAGTAAACCAGTGGTTGCTGGAGCCCCAGATCAGTAATTCTCAAGTGAGTTTGGATGAGTGGACATGCCCCCCCTCCCAGCCCAGGGCGGGGGGTACATCTAATTGGAGCCTGGCTGTGTCAACTATTCTCTCCCACGCTGATTCTTAATCCCCCAGGGCAGGGGCCAGGACACTGGTCTTTTCAAGAGGTCCACAGTAATACTTAAGGTTAGGCCAGTTTGGGAAATGCTGGCCGGAAGGAGTAAACTTTGGTTCTTTTTTTTTTTTTAAGAGTTTATTTATTTATTTGTCGGAGAGAGAGAGAGCACAAGCAGGGGGAGCGGCAGGCAGAGGGAGAAGCAGGCTTCCCACTGAGCAGGGAGCCCGATGCGGGACTCGATCCCAGGACCCTGGGATCATGACCTGAGCCAAAGCACTTACCCGACTGCGCCACCCAGATGCCCCAAACTCTGGTTCTTTTATTGCATCTCCAATTACCTATTTCAGAAGCTCCCTCTGGAGATCCTGAGGCTGGGCTCCTGGGACCAGAACTTGAGAATACTGCTCTTTGAGCGGATGCCCTCAAACCCGGAGCATGCATCAGAATCCTCCTAAGGCTTGTTAAAACACAGACTGTGGGCCCAACTCCCAGGGTTTCTGATCTAGTTGGTTGGGGAATTTGCATTTCTAATAATCCCCTAGGGGACACTGACGCTGCTGGTCTGGAGACCACACTTTGAGAACTGCTTTGCTAGATCCTTCCATTGCATGAAGAGTAAATTGGCCCTCAGCACAGATGGGAGAGACCTTTCTTTACTTCAAGCTAAGATGTATAAGGGTAGTGACATCTGACATGCCCGGGCTTCCTCATAAATCACCAGGCTCCTTTAGTCCAGAGCTCTGCTCTCACTCTGTCCAGCAAATGTTCTTAATTGCTATTAAAACCAGCTGTTGGGAAGCTCAGGCTCTAGGATTCCAGGACCCAGACGCTATGTACAACCCAGACACTGACTTTGTGAATGACCAGAAGGAAGCCATTTATATTTCCCTGGCCCGATTTCCCCCTCATCTGACAAAGGTGACATCTTGAGGAGATGAAATGAGAGAATAAATTCAAACCCATTCAGACATATTTAAAGCTCAAGGTACAAATGCTGGCCATTACCCTCAGTCTGTGCCTGGAGAGACAAAGAGAGTGGCTCCCGGGTCTTGGTTTTTCACTAACTGGGGTGACCTGGAGCCAGGGGTCTCCATCCTTCAAAGGCAAGGGATTGGCCTGGGTAGTCTCAAATGTCACTTGTAGCTGGAGGATCGCAGGGTTCAACTCCCAACCCCAGCACCTGAGATTGGCTTCATTCTTATGTTGGTTTATACAGACGTCTGTTCCTCCTCTTCGCCACGTTGTAATGCACGTTTGGGGCACCAAATACTCCATTTAAAGTACCTAGGATGTTTGGAGCAAGTGGGAAGAAAAAGTATCAGGGTCATTTAACACAGAACAAGGCCAGGCGAAAAAGAAAAGCAAGCAAAGCGTGGCCGTGGACTTCTGCAGAGTGATCCGACTTACCTTGACCACAGCAAAACCTCCAGGGTGCAGGTGAACACAGAACAAAGAGAAGCAGGCAGAAGATGGGTGTGTGAGGAGGAATCCTCGCTCTCTTGACACGCGTACGCTTCACAGGGCTCGGCGTCTCCCAGGCAGCCTGAGGAGAGGAGCAGGGCAGGCAGCGGAATCCCTATTTCCCCAGCAGAAAGCTCTTGCTCTGAGATTAAATGCATTTCCCATAGTCCTCTGGACAGGACTTAGCTTGGAATCAGCTCTTTCATGAAACGTGGAAGGTCAGGAGAACAAGGGTCTCTTTCTGAGTAAACCCAGAGAAGTCCTGGTTCACCAGCAGCTCCTCAGTGAAGGCAGAAACCCTGGCTTGTGCCCAGGGTGGAGAAAAGCGAAACAAAGGACTCTCACTGAGCTAACGGGAACTAGACCCGGAAGGGAATCTCTGCAAATGTTGCCTTTTACCTGTAGTTTACAAGTTGCATTTAAAAATTGTCTACTGATTGGTTTAACATTCATTCTCATTGACGTGTTTGTAAGTTCTTCTGTTTGAAAGGAGAGAGCAGGAGCGCCTGGGGGGCTCAGCCGATTAAGGGTCTGCCTTTGGTTCAGGTCATGATCTCAGGGTCCTGGGATTGAGTCCCGTATCCGGCTCCCTGCTCAGTGGGGAGTCTGCTTCCCCCTCTGCCCCACGCCCTCCCGCTCACTCTCTCTCTCTTTCAAATGAATAAATAAAATCTTTAAAAAAAAAAAAGGAGAGAGCAAAATCCCAAGGCCATTGTTTGGGTTGGAGGAGCAGGTTTTCAGACAACAAATGCTGAGGGTGGGGGACAGGGGGCTGCAGCTGCATCAGCCTTAATCTGGGGAGCAATTTTTGGTTGTTGAGGAATGGTATGACAATTAGTGAGATGTCATTAGAATACACAGAATATAAACAGCTATGAAAACAAATTTTTGCAGTGTTTAGGGACTGACAGTAAGATAGAATACTCAGCCATGATCACTAGAAAGACAACTGGTGTGCAATTGTATTGTAACTGTCTGTTTATTTGTCCACACCCCGTTGTCTGTACCTTAAAAATGTCCTCTTTGGGATAAATTGGTTTCACCTTAAATCCATTTTGGAACAAAGCAGGGATAAGCATGTTACTGAATGAGTGGCTAAATGAGAGAGTCAAGGAGCAAATGAGTGAATAAACCAATGATCAAAACAGTGAACCGACAAACAGACCAATAAGAAACATACGTCAGTAGCCTCTTGTCTTGTCCTGATGGATTGAGGCCATGGGCAGCCCTTGCTCTCGAGCTTTTCTTGCTCTGCAGAGGTCTGTAGTTGTCCAGTACGATTTTGATGGGGACCAAAGGAACAAGACTGGGGTTGTCAGCTCGATTCACACAGGAGCCACGGAGTGTTGCTCTGCCTTGTGGCCCAGGCTGCAGCGTGGAACCAGACCCAGGTCAAGCTAATCCTGACAGATGATGGTGTGAGCTGTGTTTGCCTTCTCAGGGCTCCTCCTTGTGGAGCCATTTCTCTTCTTCCTACAAGGCCAGAGCCATCCATGCTGCATGTCCCAGGAGCATATCCCTGGCTGGGTCTCTCACAGGACTGACAGTCCCATGCATCAGCTGTTCCCTTGACCTAATTCATCACAGCTCCTCTCCCGTGGTATTCCACTCAGCTCTGTGGACAATGGGGAGAACCCAGTTAACCTAGTCAATGGGAAGAGCCCTCTAAGAGGTGGAGACAGTCATGGGGTAAGTGTCAGGCCTAACTGAAAGCCAGAGGAGAAGGCGTTTCTGGAAAGATGGGCCACCAGATCCTTCCTTCTACAGGGTAGTTGTTTATGTGTTAGATACCAGGCCAGGTGCCATAGAAGATTAAATACAGACACAGATGGACAAACAGACACACACACACACACACACACACACACACACACTTTCTCCCTCCAGAACCTTACAGATGGATGGAGGAAGCCATACAAATGCACAGAAATTATAAGTCAGTATATAAAAACAATTGTTTTTGCTTTAAATAATGATTTGCTGATTCCTATAAAGAGTTGCTCTTGCCCCTCTTTTCTTCCCGCTAACCTTTCTTTCCTTTCTACTTTTATCTGATTGCATGTTCCAGCTCAGGGACTTTATACAGAATAGGAGTTCCCCTGAAAAGCAAGAATAAGAAAAACAATAGCTTTTCAGTCAATTCTTGTTGGCAGGAAAACACCAGAGACGGGGAGGGTCATGGGAGTCGGTGAACTGTTGCTCCTGGCAATTGAAATACTTAATTTGTCATCTGAAAATGAGAAGTCAGGACTGCCCTGGAGCTTAGCTAAAAACCATGGGGTTACCTGAGGTCTGGAACTAGGTTGCCAGGAAAGGAGAAGGGAAATGACCCAGTAGGGCCAAGGTCAGCAAAGGCTTCCACGAAGCACGGAGCTTATCTCAGTTCTTCTGTGTCCTGTCTCCAACTTCGGGAAGTCATGCTGCTTCTCTGGACCTCAATTTCTTCATTTGCAGAACAGCCATAATATCTACTCTGTGCACGTCACAGAGCTGGCCTAAGGATAAAATGGGTTAACATATGCACATGAACTCCATCCTGAGCACACAACATCGTACGTAGTGGCTGCTCATTTCAGGGGAACTCCTGTTTCCTGGTTTGCTGGAAAAGAGGTGAGATTGGCAAGTACTCAACACTCCATTAAACCAGAGAAGTGATCTTGCAATTTCCTCACAAACCATCCAAGGACTCAAACACCTTTATCAGGCATCCTCTCTGGTGTGATGTACATGATTTAATTTAATTATCTGACCAACCCCACAAAGAAAATATTTTCTTCTTCCTCAGGCAGAGAGAGAAATCAAAGCTCAGAAGAGTTGACTATACCGTGCTTGAGACCACATGGGGATTCTAACTCAGATCTGTCTGACTCAAAGCATATTCATTTTTCACTGTGCCCCACTGGCTCACAGCTTTGATAGATATGGGAATAAAACCTAGGCCTTCACATGAAGTCACCAGGACCCTATACACCCCAATAGGCCATGGAGAAATGAGAGAAGAGATAAAACTGGTATCTCTGGAAAAGTCACCTCACCTCAGGACTGTTTGTGGAGACCGCTGAGGGCTGATGAGAGGTCCCATGTCCACCAAATGGGCTTCACCTTTTCATCCTCTCTCTGTCTCTCTCTGTCTCTCTCCAGTATCTACTTCAGATGACCCCAAAGCCAATGGTCCACAAAACACCTCTTCCTGGCCTCACATAGGGCTCTCAAACTGCCCAATTGCCCTCCAGCAGCCAGGCCAGATGGGCACTGGAGGTGGAACCTAGTTTGGAAACAGCTTGAGAGCTCAGCGGGGGTGGGCTGGGCGAGGGGCAGGCTTCACTCTATCTCCCTTTCTCCACACAGTGCTGCCTCCTCCTCCTGGCCTGCTTTCTGATGTCCCCAAGGCCTTTTCAAGTAGGGAGAGTGGAAGGACAGAGTGGATGTGGCCAATCAAGAAACGACATCTTTTAATCAGGTCATCCAGGCAGCCCCTTGTCTAACCCGGCTGGCTCTGAGCCTTTTGCCTGGGGATCATTCTGTTTTGTAACAGTAAAGCTGACCTCAAGCTAGGCCACTCTGTCCAGATCCTTGTTTGATCTAAACAAGCACAACAGCTATGTCACCAGAGAGTTCTGTCTCGCTGGCAGGTCTCCAGAAGGGTGTGTTGCTGCTTAGCCAGAGGAGTCAGCAGAGAGCCTCTCCCCTGCTTAGGTCGCCAAGGGTAAGAGCCTGCTAATGGATTTTCCTTGGGTACAGAGGATCCTGATTTTCTAGAGCTATGTAAAAACGAGACTCATACAACTTGTAAGAGATGCATCAAGTTTGCTGAATAGAAGGGCATTATACAAAAACCATTTTGCATTTTCATGACCAATCACTGTTAGAAAACACAAGCTTTTGGATAAAGAAGATGTGGTGTGTGTATATATGGAATATTACTCAGCCATCAGAAAGAATGAATATTTACCATTTACACTGACGTGGATGGAACTGGAGCATATTATGCTGAGAGAAATAAGTCCATCAGAGAAAGACAATTATAATGTGGTTTCACGCATATGTGGAATATAAGAAACAGTGCAGAAGATCATAGGAGAAGGGAGGGAAAACTGGGAAGAAATCGGAGAGGGAGATAAACCATGAAAGATTCTTTTTTTTTTTTTAAGATTTTATTTTATTCATTTGACAGAGAGAGAGAACGCGAGAGGGAACACAGCAGGGGGAGTGGGAGAGGGAGAAGCAGGCTTCCC